TATTGCCCTGTAGTTACAGTTCCTTGGAGAAACACAGATAGCAATGATCTCAGCACAGGTAGTAAATTAGAAGATAAATGATCAGGCTTAGAGCAAAGTTTGCCAGAGCTGTATTCATTTATGAGGAATCAGCCAATTAGACCACTTGGCTAATGCTTCTGATTTAACCCGCCACCCCATGGTTAGTATTGGAGAGGGTGACCAGCCTCTTTGCCCCTTTTAGCCTGCACAAGTGGTTACCTGTGCTAATCAGCAGTGGGGCAAAGGGGCAGGAAATATCCACCAGCAAGATATGACGGATGACAAAACCACTCCTTTTATGACTTCTTTGAGGCTGATGGACAGAAAAGAATTTGATCAGTCTTCCACTCAAAAACACCTACACGTACAGTTTGGATACTTCCAGTGTTTTAGAGCTGGGAGAATGTTTAGACACTACCCAAATACAACTCCTTTACTTTACAGATGAAGAAACTGAGGCCCAGAGAGGGGAAATAACTTGGTCAAAGCAGTACCGCTAAGTAGTCACTGAACCGGAACTTCAACCCAAGGCTTCTTATGCATTTTCCAAGTGCCCCTCCCCAAGTGGCAAGCTTTTTTTGGTTTGTCCTCAGGACTCTTGTAAACATTTTGAATTACGGAAGCTTTGCCCAGGAGGAAACTTCATTTAATTTGATCTTCGCTGGAAGTGCAGGGAAGAAGATTAAGAAGTGTCTGTTGCAATGCCTTAGACCCGAAAATTCTCTACTCTCACTTCTCCAAGCTCAGGGAAGGAAGTAATAGTGTGGGGTTCCTCAACATTAGAAAAAGAAATTCATGAATCTTTGAAGGGAAGAGATATAAGTTATGTTTACTTTCCTAAGTCTGTGTTTAGTTCATATTAGAAGAATGCTAAAGAAGGAGTTTGGGGACCTAACCTCTACTTGGTTGTGGATCTCAGTGAATAAACTTGGCCAGCTCATTGTCTCTGGGATTTGATTTCCTCATCTGTAAATTTAGCTGAGTCTTAAGACCCTGATCAACCTCAGGATTTAGGGAGGTCTAAAAACATTTCTATGCTTTGAGTATCATTGTAATGGATAGAGAAGGAACTCTGGTGATGGAAGGTAGCCAGTCTAAAGTCAGTCTGTATTTGCAAATTAATTGCCCTCCTTAGTTACCTGGCCTGGTGGAGCAAGCACAGGACCCGGAGTCCAGGACCTGACTGTGCTTCCCTTTGCTCCATGACCTTGGGCAAGTCCTTAACTTTCTCTAGGCCTTTAAAAAATAACAGATCTCTAAAATGGGTTTAACACCGTTGCAGGCTTGCCTCACAGGGCTGTTGCATGGAGATAAAGGATGTAGAAATGCTTGATGGTATGCAAGCTCCTTTAGACTTGTGACTCAGTTTGCCCTTGGTGACTGAAAACAGGGTAGAAACAGCCTGTAGATCTAGTCAAAATTTCAGTGTGGCCAAGATCCCACTGGTGGAACTGACATTTTTTTTTCAAGGTCATTTTGTTTTCCCAGTAATGGTGTACATTGAAACAGCATTTAATGAAATGTCCATATATCAAGTTTGCCTGGTACGGTCCTGTTTGCCATGGTCCTTCTGGTATAATTAGCAATCATTTTTCACTTTCAAAAGTGTCTCTATTTTTTTTGCAGTAAGTTACATTGTTACCCCCAGATTAAACATCATTCTATTCCACCTCTTTATTTTACATATTGGGAAAGGGAGGCTCAGAGAAGCGAAGTGATGTCCCAGATTCACCTAGTTTGTCCAGAACCTGGACTTGGCAAACCCCTTCTCTTTGTACCCTGGGAAGAAAGTGGAGGGGAAAGCAGGGTGAGAGAATGCTCTCTTTGTCTGCCCTTCAGCTTCTTGAAACAACTCTCCTGAAGGAGCAGCCCCACCCCTCTCTTGATTTCCTGGAAAGTGATCAGCAGTCCCTTGGCTGCCAGTGGCCAGGAGGGAGCTGGGGGATGGAGCGAGTGTTGCAGGATGCTGGAGAAGGAAGCTTTTTTCTTTCTGTACCCAGGAAAACAATCCCAAGGGAAGAACAACTGCCTATTAATAACTAGCCCTTATTTAGGCTAAATATTTTTTAAAAAATTATGGTTCATGGAACACTTCTATGTCCACAATCTCAATTTGTCTAATTCTTACTTCCTTTGGAAATTATCTTGGAGGCATCATTATTCCCATTTTGTGAGAAAATGAAGACCTAGAAAGCCAGTTGAGTTTCTTTAGGATTCACAGTCAGTGTGAGAGCTGGGAAGAGGGACTGATCTCCTAACTTCTGGCCCAGTGTTCCATCTACTTCTCATTGCTTCCTGCAGGGTCTAGCTTTACGCATCTCCTAGGAGAAATCTCACTATAATTAGGTATTTTGGTGTTCAAGTAACTAAATCCTTTTGGGTGCAGCCCAAGGCAGACCCCCCCTTACATACTGAATTTGGCTCTGTGACAAATCGTAGTGTTAGAACACGGTTCATGATTAACTGTGGGCTTTGTTCTGCCAACATCATTGCTGAGAAAATGAGTATGTGGATGGCGGAAAGGGTATCGCGTCCCAGGATAAGATTTTCATCATTAAAATTGTTGCTAGGTTCATGGGGAATAGGATCTCACTACAGTACTTAACGGTGCTGTGCTTGCAAATCACTGACCTGATAATTTGCAGAATCCCCACTTCAGAAAGATTTGTTCTAGCAGGGACTGAAATTCTTTATTTGGAACTTGACACATCCCAGGCCCATAAGGACATAGCTTGACAAGGTACGCAGCCACATCCATCATTACTCAGCCCCAAGCAGGCGACAAGGCAGGGCAAGGCTTCGGTGGGCAAGAGTCAGGGACCCCAGGTATGTCCTGACTCTGTGTGTGACTCATGTGATGTTAAGAAAGCCACTTTTCTGTTAGGATGCTCAGCTGCTTCAACTGTCACATGTTGAGATTGAATTATTCTGTGTGCTTCTAGTTGTGCAAGCCACTGCATTCTGTTTCCTGAGAATGCTGTGGGAACCTAGCATGTAGAAATGGTGCAAGAGATGGGGCTGAGGACTTGTAGTCCGTTCATTTAATCAACTTGTGTTGCCATGTGACATCTGCATGAAAGATGTCGGGGTGGGAACGATTGGCTAATTCCCCAAAGCCCTTTTAGTCCCCAACACTAAGTATCCTAAGGACCACTAATGTCTTAATAATAGATGCTGAGCACCTGAGGGCTTGCAGGGAGCCCAGAATTCAGGATGCATGCCTAGGCAGACAGGGAAAGGAGTTAGAATGGTGTAACAAAGAGTAGAGTTTGGAGTGGAGGGAGGCATGATTCAGTTTGCTAGCCTTCACAGGTGCACCGTGCTTTATAGTTTACAGAGTATTTGCACATCAATTGTCTCTTTAGAGAGAGCTTGCCCAACATTGTACATTCAGGTATTCACACAACGACCTTTTATGAATCAGCAGTCGTGTGCCTGATACGGTGGTAAAACTCCTGAATATAAAGAGGATTCATTTGAGCCTCAAGAAGCTCATGCTCTGATAAAGGAAAAGGCATGTAAACATGTGATTGCAACTGCAAACTGAAAGGCTCTAAGGGGGGTGCGTGCAGATATGGAAGGGAGGAAAGGAATGATTCGCTTTCCCGAGGAAGGGGAAGGAGGTACGCTTAGGGTGGGACTCTGCGGGTGGAGCTCCCTCGGCATTGAATCCGGGTCCTTCAGCCTGGCGGCAGGGGTGGGGCGGGGTTGAGGCTTGGAGAACCCGGCCTGGGGGTGGGCAGGAGAGGCGAAGCTCAGAAGCTAGCCTGACGGGCAGGGGCTTTGAATGAAATGCAAAGAATTTGGACCCCGTGGCAATGAGCTCTTAGTTCTCCAGAGAAGGAGACGGGCTCACCGGAGCCTGAACCGTCTCCCGAGGCACAAGCACAGGTGGGGGAACCACAGGGCCTGCGAACCCGGCGTCCTGATGCTCCGTCTGCTACCCTGTGCTGCCTCCAGCAGGCCTGAGCCAGGCAGGCCCCGCGTGGGAGAGGCCTCCGGGCTGTTTATCCGGCTCGGTGGGGCTGGCTCTGGCCCGGAATGGAAGT